GGGGGGGGGGGGGGGGGGGGGGGGGGGGGGGGGGGGGGGGGGGGCGATCATGTTTTTGCATGCGTCTGCGGTGGGACCATTGACCACGCGTCGTCGAGAGGACGGAGCATTATTCCCGCAGGACCGATACCCGATGGCCAATCGTTTCCGGGGGGGGGTGGTGTACTCATAGTCGTGCATGCCGTAGTCGTTAGACCATTGACCTCGCATCCCTACAAAGCCGGGACGGAGCACGCCGGGTTCTCACCGGACCAGGCTCTCACATCACCAAGCGCGAAGCGCCGTGAGATATTCGGCGAGTCGCATGAAGGGGGCGCTGCATCCTGCTAAGGGTTTTCGGCATCATGTGCTTACTTCCTTGCTACGGATGACAGCTGCGTATGACTTGATTTGTTTTCTGGTGTTCACTTCCTGAGACAGTTGTAAGCACGGTGTAACTGCCTCGAGGGTGCTTGACCATTTTAACACAACGTGGTGCGATCATCCCCCTTGCGCGGAGTGAGGGTTCTCGACCCCGCACAACACGATCTACTCGACCACCATTCATGGTTACCGCCAAACATAAAACCGGAGGTAAAAACAAAACCGGTAACCTGGTTGCCGAGTTCACGAAGTGAAGCGGCTTGTTTTACAACGTCGTTGCCAAGCGACGAAAACCCAACCCCGATGGCAAACACCGGGGGGGCGGAGGGGTGCAATTCCTCTCTGCGAGACGACGTTTTGCTGTGTAGTACCAAGTGGGCGCTGGTGTTTGGGGTGCGCAGGAGGGGCGTGTTTCGTGGAATCGAATGTTGCATGCACTGAAACGTCCACACCGGAGCCAAACGCGGCGAAAACCTGCCCCTCAATCCCCAAACCCTATCCCCGTTCGCCGGTTACACCCTTACTGCTTCCCCGGCTTTCCGTCCGATCACCGTCAACGGCGCGGACGTCAGGGGCACGTGCGCGGGATCGTTATGCTATGCGGTGAGAAACTTGTTTGTATGCCCGTTTCCTCCGTGCTCGTTTCCTCCGCGCTCGTTTCCTCCTGCCTTTGCTTCGCTTCTGTGTTTTTCGGTGTGTCCATTCTGCCTCTGCTTGAAGGCTGTTTCGTGTTTTTTTGTTCCGCTTTCGCTTGGCGGCAATGGCGGCAGTGTGCCCGCGATAGGGGGTGCCTGCGGCGGACGGGCGTTACCGGCTTGTCCGGACCGGGACTGCTAATCCTTTTCCTCCCGGCAAGACGAACGCGAGCCGTTGACCTCCACGCTCCCGTTCACGCTGCGATCATGACTCACAACCATGGGCTGGCTATGGGGTCACCGTGGCTTCTCTTTGTCCTTGTGTATTCCTGTGCACTCAATAGTAGAGAGGCTGATGGAGTGTGTGAATGTTGCGTGATGCGGCAACCCCACTTCGCTTTTCGCTCTCACTCTCCGCTTTTCGCGTCTTCGTGCCCCCCCCCCACCCCCCTCCCCCTACTCCCATAAATCCGCTGTACCCCGCATCGAAGGTTTCCTCATGGTGCCGCGAGCGCGCGAGTCCGGCGGGGGCTGCGTCATCACCATGATCGTCCACACAGACCTCGGCGGCAACCTGCCGGCGACCATCCTCAACAGGCTCTCCACCAGCAGCCCTTGGCGCCTTGTCCAGCGCCTGCGCTCGGCGTTCGAGAGCAGCGATTGCCAGCCGTCGCGGGCGCAGAAGGCGGAGCAAGCAGCGGCGGCGGCGGCAGCGGTTGCCGCCGATGACCAGGCTTCGTGACGTAGGAGACTTCGTGGAATCGGATACAGCAGTAGAGCCCCGGTTCTTGCACAACACGGGGGGTGGAACAATAGTAGGTACTTCCTTTGTTTTTGACAGAAAACGTCCGTTTCATTTGTGTGGTGATTGTTGGGTGAGGTTTTTCCGTGTGCCCTGGAGGGTGGTGAGAGTGGAGGGGATTCCGAGGAGCAGGGCACACGTATACCACATTACGTCCAGCATGGAGGACACGATGTCTTCTATCTTCATCGCTGACCAACATTGTTGTAGCGGTTGTCGACGGCACGGAGGCATCGGTCGTTTATGTCGTTTATGTCGTTTATGTCGTCGTTGTTGTTTTGACATTAAAAAGCCGTTCAGGCCTCTGCCCAGAAGTCCCTTCCAACATCTGCACCGGTTTAACTGGCGCGAACGCCCTACGTGGCGAAAGGCCAACTACCCGAAAAAGGTACACCTTTTTTTTCCAACGCAACATCAGGGGACACCGTTGGTGGTATGGATTTATTTCAGGAGAAGGCGCAATGGGGCCGTCGGCGACTGCCGTGGAAGTCCGCTATTGTCCTGCTGGCCTCGCGTGTGTTCGTTTTGGTGACAAGTGACTTTTCTAAACGGGCTCCTCTTGTGTCCGGTTGCGGACGGATCCGGGGGTCTTGGCCACTGGTTGTAAGTAATGGTAGAGGCAGCGGTTTCACTTGTCGGTTTTGGCAAAATGTATGTGGGTGGGTGATGGTTTGTTTGCACACCACGGCAGAATTTTTAGCTGCGCGTACAATTTTTGTTGGTGGGTGCTGTGTAAGACGGGCATCTGCACTCGTCTGCGACTTCCATGCGTCGAGAGGGTTCCTTTTTTTTTTTTATGCGCGAGAGATGTTGNGGGGGGGGGGGGGGGGGGGGGGGGGGGGGGGGGGGGGGGGGGGGGGGGGGGGGGGGGGGGGGGGGGGGGGGGGGGGCGAGGGAAGGCGCTTCATCAGCCAATGTTCACCATTCTTGTCTTGTTTTTCACTTTTATTCGTGTGGCGTGCGTCATTGGCAGTGGTATGCGCGAGAAGCGCACGTTTGCGGTGGCTCAAACATGGGACACGTTTTTGTTGATGCCGCATTAGATTTGCAGCCCTGCAACCGCGAGACTTGGCTGATCGCGTGCAAGCACCGCACCCTCTTTTTGGCGTGGGCGATAAGATTCCCACCGCAAGGATGACCCAGGTCGGAACGGGCAATTCGTTGTCGCCCAGCATGTAAATGTTTAGCTTGCGCGCGCTCGTCGTACTTGTGTTTTAGAGGAGGAGGAGGAGGGAAGGTATAATATTTTCAAGTATGTTTTTTTCGTGATATGTTCTTTTTGCCGAAGTCCTGGCGTTATTTATCAATATCTCGCGGTTCTTGCCAGTTCTCTCTTTTGGGGGGCGTCGGTTCGGTCGGGCCGTGATTTTACTTTTGTATCGCATTCGCTTTTGTTTTTCTTTTGTGTACTCTATAGTTCTACTACATGGCTTCGACTGCAACGCTCAACGAACAAAATAGAGTCCACTCATTAGTTCGTGCACGCATGCGTGTGAGGTGATACTAATTTGGATATTTTGGCGTTGTTTGTTTCTCGACGCTGTAGTTCATGAATCATACCGCACTCCCTGCTGCTACTGCTGTGTCTTTTCGGAAGCAATGGGGTTCCCCCGCCCCCCCCCCCGAAAATATAAAGCCCCAGTTCGTTGCCTCGGTGGTGGTGTGTTCGCGAGCATCGTTCTGGTGTCGGATTTGCCTGACAAGATGACGCTCCCGCGCACGCACGGGCTCCTCCTGCTAAATTTTCGCGTCTGATTGTAGTACTTTGAAGTGACTTTCTTTGCGGTATGTGTACAGAGTACAGGGCTCCTCTGCTCGGTTCGTCTTTATCCCTCTTCTCTGAACTATCTCTCTGATCTACAAGGTGCACGTGACTTCTGGGGTCCATTTTTATTATTTCATTTTTTATAAGGTGTACCCCCCTTTTGGGGGAGCAGTTGGCTTGTGACCACGGAAGGCGTCCGCGTCAGTTGAACCAGTACGGATATTTGAAGGTACTGAGTGAGGGACCGGAACGTTTTTTTAAAGTAAAGACAACAACAAACAACACCGACGTGATTTTCATATATAGACCTATAGACGGGTTTCCTACGGGCTGAGGGCTCATTAGATCGCAAGAAATGCAATCCTGATGCTATCGTGAGCCCGGAGCCCTTTTTTCGCGGTTTCTCCGCCCGTAGAGCTCGCCTCGAAGCGAGACTTGCACCTACCGATAGCTATGTGTTGCGAGGGCCCTCCCGGCGTACCGCGCGCTCTCGGGGCGGACTGCGTGCAGCGCTATGTGCATTCACAACAACAACCCCCCCCCCCCCCAGGTCAGCCAATGATAATTTTTTTGGGGTTGTTTGGGTGAATAGGGCAAGTTGCGTGCCCCCCCTTTTTTACAGAATCTACGAATCGCTGCGATCCGTCGGTCCGATCTGCCCGCCCAATGTACAGTTGTTGTAGGTCAACCGCTGTGGTTGTGCGTTTTCCCGTTCGAGCTTGTGTCAAACTCAGCAGCCAGAAGTCGAACTCCCCCCAACACTGAGAAGAAGAGGGATACTTTGCAGCAGGGAACCCAGCCGGACTGTTTCCCACGCTGAAATTCGGAGCGACTCGGAGCAACCCGGAACTCCAAGGGATAAATATCAGAGAGACACCGCTCGCTGCTTGCTGCCGCCAAGATGTCGAACAATGTTGACCCAGCGTTTGCGGGAGTGGGGAAGGTGCCCGGGCTCACCCTCTGGCGCATTGAAAAGAAGCTCGTGGTCAAGCAGCCTGCGGTGAGTGAGTGGCATTGCCAGCTAGGGCATGTGTGTGTCCGCTGCTGATGACAACAAGCCCAGAGAGGACTGCGCAGACGACGGGCGGCCCAGCTTTGAGGCGCAACCATCCCTTTGGCTCATCATGTGGAACGTTTCGCTCTCTCTCTCTTTCTCTTCTCTCTCTCACCGGCAGCAGCAAAGCGCTCTTGGCTGCTGTGTGCTTTCTTGCCACACGTAAAGAAGATAGTGGCTGCGTCGTTCATGCCCGCCGCGATCCGTTGTAGCGGGTGGAGCTATTGCAAGAAGCCAGCAGTGGACCATAAGTTTTTAGCCGGTGTAACACGCTTCTAGACTATCTTCTTAATTCTACATCAACCAAAAGATCATGTGCGGACGCCGCCCCTTCGCATCAATCAAAAGTTATTTCGCACTCTCGCGTTCTCCCAAATGGAACCAATGAGGAGGGCGAGCTGCTCCCCGCCGGTATCCCGTGAATAAACCGCCCGATGTTCTCGCAAGCGCAGTGAACTACCTGCTCCTCCCATCCCGCGCGCTGATGTACACCACCACGCAACCCCACGCTTTTTCTCTAGAGACTCGTCTTGATGCTTTCGTTTTTTTCTTTTTTGCTACGAGAACACATAATGGGCATAAATGCACAAACAGACAGGTTTTTGGTTCGCCTGCTCGCGCACTCTTTGCCCCAAAGCGTGATATGATAAGACCGAACCCATGGTTTCAAGCCTCGACTGCCACCCCGCTCTCCAGAAATGCGTGCGTCTGTAGAGGTCACGCAGAATTTCGAAGTGCGAATTCGAATTTTCCCTGGCTTCATGTACATGTGCGCCATGAGGCACACCATCATCATCATCATCATCATCGATCATCGACAAAGAATAGCCCCGAAACTATGCACTTCTATTTTCTACTACTGTAAAAATTCGACACACGACGGTTCGCGACGATCATCCTGCGTTGTACCGAGCATCGTCGTGTGGTGGCTTTGGGTGCCACAGTAGTAGAGTTTGGCCGGCTTCCTTACGTGTGGTGCTACCGGCACTATCTCTGCAGCATCTGCTATTCATCACGGAAAGATGTCAACTTGGCCTAAATTCGGAACAAAATACGTACAAGCGTATCATACTTCACACGCATGCATCCAACGACGTCCGTACAATTTACCACATTTACACTTGGATGAGTTCAAGCAGAGGGACTTCATGGCGGCAAGCTTTTGTATGCATCCCTCCTGTGGGCGGATTCATGCATACGGCACACGGAAGATGCGCTCTCATCGCCAGCAGCGTACCTTGCTCGCGGGTGGCTGCTCTGCGAGAATGTTCTGCCTCTAGGACACGATGGATGATAGCTTTTGTCGCTGCAAACAGCAGCACGTACGGTTCTGTGTGGACGACGGGTGGTTCAGTTTTTGGGCACGCAAACGTGCTGCAGGGATGCAGTAGGTGTACCTCTACGAGCTTGTGTACCCTTGCTAGTTTGCGTGTTCTCTAGATCTTTTGATGGCTCTAGCATATTTGTGACCACGGACGGCGTCTTTGCTAGATTTTGGGATTAGCAACTGACACGAGTTTCATGTGGATGCAACAACAACAACAACGGTTCTGATCGAGAGTATCGCCCCCCGCGCCATATGCAAATGCGTAATTCATAAATTTGGTGAAGCCTGAGTTTCGTGGGCAGGTACGACGGGGGGGCATTTGCTTACCAGTCGTATTGTAGTCAAGAAGCGGTGAATGGTGTGCTGACGCCCCAACACTCGTGTTCTGTACAGTAGTATTTGGAAACTCAGGAAGCCTCTCTCCTGTATTCATATGCCTGCATACATACGCATGTGGTTGACACGTTGACACTACTTGTACAACCAGTTTGTGGTGTATGCGGTATGCATACAGCAGGCATACTGCTGCAGATCGTGACGCTGCAGCACGTGCACACGTGTATACAGCATAGCTCAGGAGGCGATTATTAGTGTAGGACATAGTAGTGGATGGTCGCGACAAGTAGTCACAAGGTTCACTTCGTTAGATGGATAAAAAACAACACCAGAACTCCGTTTGATAGTTTCACTGGTCACTGAATGGGTAAACTTTGTTCGCTCGACCAAATACACGAGAAAGAGCAGCCACAAGCCAAGCCAAGACGACCTTGCCTATGACATGATTGCCAAGTGACAAGTGACTGCTGCTGTTGCCTGTGTCGCGTCATCGGCAGGATATTTCTATTTCGTTGTCCCGCGGCGGGCGGCGGGCGGGGTTTGTTGTTTCGCCGCGTTTTAATTCGCCGCTTTTTTGGTTTTGTGTACTCCGTGCATTTGTTGTGTAATTTGGGTGTGCTCTGAATAGATAGCATCCTGCGCGACTGGTGTGCGTTTGTGTTTTCATGATAAGCATCGACCGCGCTAACCGACTGACCAATGAAGAGACGTCGCAGTGCCAGCGGGTAACATCAAGGTCCCTGGAAGGGGGCGAAAATTCGAGCAATGCCCAGTGCGCTAAATGCGAATCCAGGACGTCTCTCAGCTACACAAATGCCCTTGCTCGAACCTAGGAAGCCACTGATGCAAAGAGCGGAGGACAGCAGAAGGGTTAGTTGAAGCGCAGCCAGGATATCGTGGTACGCTGCATCTCCGAATTTGATATTTGTATACTCCCAAGACCCAACCTTCATCGTGTCAGCAGCTAGATGACTCAAATCAAAATAGCAACACGTACATAGCTCCACCCATGCCCTCGCTCGAACCTAGGAAGTCACTGATGCAAAGAGCGGAGGACAGCAGAAGGGTTTTTTCAAGCCCAGCCGAGGCCAGGATATCGTGGTATGCTCTATCTCCCAATTTGATAATCGTATACTCCCAAGATCCAACAGTCGTCGTGTCAGCAGCTAGATGACTCAAAACAAAATAGCAACACGTACACTGCCATAGCTCCACGCATGCCCTCGCTCGAACCTTGGAAGCCACTGATGCACAGAGCGGAGGACAGCAAAAGGGTTAGTTCAAGCCCAGCCGAAACCAGGGTATCGTGGTATGCTGCATCTCCCAATTCGATAATCGTACACTCCCAAGACCCAGTCATCGTGTTAGCAGCTAGATGCCTCAAACAAAATAGCAACACAAATGAGGCATCCATGCGTCCGCAAATGTTTATTCGAATACTGCACAACCGGATATTCGTCAACCCTAAGTGGTATGCCCTTGTTGTCTTTATAGAGACTGTAGTACTTGATGTTTGGATGCTTGTTATCTCTCACATCCGGTTGGGGGGAAAGAGCAGGGAGTGCCACGCACACTACAGCTGACAGCAGCTAGCATGGGGGCTCCGCGCAATCATTCTCTGGTCGTACTACCCAACGCGTAACTATGTGCGGGGCACCTGAAACAGTCATCTCGTCCACAGGTCCGACTACATACGCACTCAGGAACACCGGAGTCATAGCACAGGGGTGTGAGTTAACTATCAAAAGCAGATGAAAGTTTTGTTTCGATTTCCCCACAGGGTCCGGAGTCAGCGCACAGGATGAAAATGAAATGGCGAAAATTTTGACGAACGACCGCACGGGGAGGTGCTGTTGCTGTGATATGACTCACATTGTTACGATAATTTGGTTGTTGGTTGTTGGAATTGATGAATGCACGGCAGCAGTCCTTCGCTCTTAATGTTGCTCGTTGGAACACAACGACAGTCCGTGCTGCTCGAACCTGAATCATCCCCGTCTCTTCACTCTCTCTTATCTCGTTGGTGTTGCCTACTGGAATGATTGCAACGACGGTCCGCTACTGCTGAATCATCCCCTCTCTTTTCTCTACCGTTCTTGTTTTTGTTGTTGGAATGAATGCAACGACAGAGTCCGTTGCTAGTGAATCATCCCCCGTCTTTTCTCTCTCTGTTTTTGTTGAATGCAACAACAGGCTGATGGTAAGTTCCACGAAGGGGACTGCTACATCCTGCTATCCACCACGAACACTCCCGGCCGCGTCGAGCAGGCCGTCCACTTCTGGATCGGCAACGAGAGCTCGCAGGCGAGAGAGAGAAAGGGGAGGGGGGAGAAGTTAGGCCAGTACCCTTGGCAGGTTATTTCGGTAATAAGTAACAATGTTGGACAAAGCATGTAATCGGGGCGGCAGTTGGGTTGGGGTTTAGGGTTAGGGATAAGGCCTGCGTACCCCCCTCGCTGTTGTATTTCCTCATACACTTGATTTCACGCGAAGGCGGTCCAGTGAGGCTAGAGCTTCGGCTCGGGTTGTTTGTTCCTCAGGGACGAAAATTACCCCGTCGATGTGA